AGTTATAGCGGTCTCCAGACGTTTTCAGTTCCAGCGCAGCGCTCCTTAATATTCTAGGCCTGTGGTTACTTTTCCAGTACCATTATCTGTTCGATTTTTAGGTTGGCCAAGATTTGATATGCTTTGGGAGGTATTGAACTACTCAAGCCAAATGCCACCGTAATTAGAGCGCCGCAGCTAATACACCGGTGGCTGCATATCAGCGCGCATTTTTGTTCCATGCCGATAACCAGCTATCGTCGCTATGGTCCAGAATATGGACTGAGCACGAGAATTAATTCAGCAATGGCGCCTTGCGTAACGAAAAGTTGACAAAATAGCTGACACACAGTTTCGGGAAGGAGAGACCGCTAAGATATTTAACTAATTTCCAACTCGTATTCTTGGGCGTCCCAATTCGTTGATTTGATCTGTCTTGACTTAACCTCACTTTCGCATAAAAGCGATTGCACATCCAGCAAGTTCAGTATGAGGAAATCAATGCGTAACAAGTATGCAGAATGTTCATTCTGTGGCGCATTAAATGGAGCATGACGCATTTTGTACTTTTCACTTATTGTTAGATAAGACGCGTACAGTTTGGTCATTAATACCAGCTTTCTCAAAATCGTTTATAGCTCAGAATTTTAATGTGAAATAGCCGCTCCTCCGGGCGAAATGTCATTGGACTCCCTTCCCATCACTTTGGAAATAATACATTTCATTTATCTTTCTTTTTAGAACGTGTGTGTTCTGTAGTGTGTGCAACACACTAATTTCAACGGAAAGTGATACTATGGCTTTTATTCCTCCCTTATGGCGTTTCTTGTAGTGATTCTTTCAGAGCGCACTTTGGCTTTGGGAAATGAGGTATCATATGGGTTATAGCAACGCACTAGTTCAAACTTCAACCAGTGCGGTTCTTCGGAACTGGCCATTGCAGCACTTATTCCAATCACAAACGTTCATTTGTACTGACGCTACTCATTAACAGCTGGCCGCCCCCCCCCCCCCCCCCCCCCCCCCAACAGATCCTTCGGACTCTTCCGGCTGTCGTAAGCGCAAAAAAATAAGCGTAGTGCTGTTAGAAAGCGTTAGCAGCGTAATTTGGATAAGAAAATGATTAAAATTGATATCGTTATTACGTATTGACGGCGTTGCAGTGCACTACCCATTGTGTTGATATTAGACGTAACCAGACCTGAGGTTTCACTGGAGAATGTCTTTTAAATATCCCTAAAGGTATAACACTCCTTTTAGCGCATGAAGTGATTTGACGTAACAATTAATGGCATGACTTGACAAAAGCTAAGGTTACAAACCTCTGAGAATGGTTATAGCGTGATTTTTTTCACAGGGTGTGTACGATTTTGATCAGCTCAGCTGCTGAAAGTTTTGGCAGACTGCTGGTAGATTATTACGCCGCATTTACTGGGATGTAGGCCTCTTAGGCTGCTATAGGGCGTGCGCTTAAGTTACAGACCCAGAAATTGCCACAGCACTTGAGAAAAGATGAACCTGTTGATTGGAATGAGACGAAAGCTACAGCATTGTATTATGCTGCATGCTGTCATTGTCTGCCAACGCTGTTTACGCCGCCCGTGGTTGACATGTCTGCGAATCTTGGTCCTGAATATGGATGCTATAGAAGGGCGAGTGTCGGCGGTAATGCGTTCACTCATGATGATGTTCAAGACTGTACGTCGCGGTCATCGCTCACCTGCATGAGTGGCAGTATTTCCGCTGATCTGCCCTACTGGGTTACTGAAGTCGGTCGCATTTGCCTCGTTTGATAATGCTGTCATCATTGCTGTTTAATTAAGTGTAATGTGCAGATACACAGTAGCAAAGAAACTGGGTTTAAACAGCAGTAGTTAATCGTGACCCAGGACAAATCGGCTCAGAACATTCCGCTTTACGGAACCTGGTCATGGGAGTCTACACCATTTACAGAACCTGGTCATGGGAGTCTACACCAAGTCCCCTACCATGATTGCTGGTTTTTACAGCTGACAAATGGAACCATGTACCCTTGGTTCCACGTCAAAAACGCCGCTGACAAAACGCGCACGTCACACGTGCGAGACAAGGCTTGCTTGCGACAACGCTTCTACATGACAACTGTCATGGATAAAACTACCGCAAAAACCGCAAAACCGCCGCTGAAAAGGCTTATGCGGACAATGCTTCTACGTAACCTTACTTCCACTGGCAAAACCTCCTTAGAAAACTATGATGCGACAAACATTCCGTGAACAAAGCGCGTACATGACATTTCTGCTATATGACCGAACTGCTGCGGCAGGGGTTATTACACATTACTCGTATGGATACCTTGCTGCGGCGGAACATTGTCGTCGAAAATTTTGTCCGTAGAAGTAATTTGTGGGGAAATTTTTTCCTTAACCGTTTTGTAACAGAAATATCACGTGGAACTTTAGTCCGTGTGGTTTTGTCGCGCAATTAATTCGGCCTGTGGAAATTTTGGCAGTGATAATCATATAGAAGTTATGTCTTGTAGGTAGTGTCATAGCAGTTTTGTCAGAAGAAAGTATTTTTGTTGTAGTGACGTGACCTTTTTATCATTAACGCTGCAAAATATGAGTATGTGCGATGCTTAGTGTGTGTTGCGTAACTCCTTCAGCAACACATTGCATGCGATGAGGTGTGCGTAATTACGGCATGTTGACACGGTTTTATCGTCGGCTTACTACATTCTATGCCTGGTTTTCGTACACCCACAACACAAATGTTACCCGCCACATGACGCTAACATGACCAGAGCAGCCCGGATATATCTGGCCGGGTGCGCCGTGGCTCATTCAGTGTACCGCACGTGACCGGAACCTGTCAACCCCCCCCCCCCCCCCGAACGTGGCGTGTCAAGTATTGTCGCGAACGAGGACGTGACGGAAACATTTCCCTTTGGATTAATTCAAATGCGGAACCTTGCACGGGTCGGTTCGACTCGGAGCAAATGTAACCACGGCTGTTGTTTGTATACAAAGCCCATCCAGCATGTCCTTAGAGCAGATTTAGCTCATCAGCCGTCTGCGGCCTTTGTAGCGATCTCAAAGCGTCGCTGCAGACGCGCGGTACCCTGGGAGGCTGCAGCGTTCGGTCCGCTTTACAGGCTGCCCTGGCAGGACGCGATCCTTGGCAGTTACCAGATTGAGCCGAACC